ATGCTGGGCAAGCACTCTACCACTAAGCCACATTCCAGCCCTGTTTCTTTTTATATGCCCTCCTACACGATTCTGGAGTATATTCTCTTGTCTTCATGAAACTTGCCCTTCTGTATTCCTTTGCTAGGATATTTGGTGTGTTTTCTTTTGCAAAGATAGCTATTTTCATATGACTTTCATTTCCTGTTCTGTGGGTGAAGTCCTTGAGGTCTGGGACTGCCCCACTCCTCTTGACATTCATTCCAGCTATTGGCTCACAGAAGGTTAATTATCAGTAATTATATTCTATGGGCTGGAGGTAGGTCAGTGGCAGAGCATTTACTTGGCATGCACAGGCCCTGGGCTCCTCCATCTCTAGCACTACAAAAATAAGTTAACAAAACTAAATTTGAAAGAACCCAAATTATTTTTATCTCCAAGAGTCAAATTAAGGAATTGTTACTTCAGTGAAGTGAGCATTTTTTTTCCTTGTTGAGACCAGATTTTGCTGTACAGCCGAGGCTTCCTTCAAATTCTCAATCCTCCTGCCTCAAGGTTCCCAAGTGCTGGGATTATATGCACACCCCGCCATACCCAACTGTGAGCTATAATTATAAATAAGCGGTACAATACTCTGGAATTATATGCACACCCCGCCATACCCAACTGTGAACTATAATTATAAATAAACGATACAATACTCTGGGGAAAATCTTTCCTGGAACTAACTGGCCAAGATGGGATTACCTAAAATTTTTGCCTGAGTGTTTCATTCTCATTTTTAGTGAAAATAATAATCCCTGTAAGCAAGTAATATTTTTAAGTTAACTTTTATTTATTTGATTTCTATTAAAAATACCATTTCAGAAAAGTCAGAGAAGTATATGTAAGATAGATATATCCTATGTATTAACAAGGTTGTAAGCTTTCCTAAGAAAGAAATGCTGGTGTAAGAAAATGTTGGACAGGCCAGATCTGCCCAGTAGCCTACCCTGAGCAAGTAACTGTGGCTTCCTCAGCCTCACCAGGATGCATTTGTGTTTATATTCACATGTGTGTCCTCTTTCTACCATAAAACCACCACCCTATCCTTCAAACCTTGCCTCTCACCCCAAAAAGTATGCAAAAAATGAGGACATCCAGGTTATTACAGCACAAGGTTGTACCTGGCATCCTGCTAAGGAGAGTAGTCACTACCAATGTGAGGTTGAACCTAACATCAGGAACAAAAGCAAGCACTTAGATTCATGATACACAAAAAGTGTCTGAACCTAATTCACCGATTATGGAAAACATCTGCAGAATGAAAATACATTGTCATCACCAACATTAGAGTTCTGTTAAAAGATCAGCAGTTTCCAAGGTCCAAGGAAATGAAAGCATTTAGCAGACTTCCGTCTCTTCAGTTCACCTTCCATTTCTCTTCCTCAAATGGAAGTGTTAATTGATGGGTCGTGGTGGCTATTTTTGAGAACCAACATGAAAGGGAAAGGAACACAGAGCAGACTCTTAGAGGAGACAGGAATTGAAAATACAAGGGGACAGATCATTTTGGGGGCAAGAAACTCCAGAAGGAGGAACTTGAATTTAAACAAATTAGTGTGAGAGAAATGTCAATCAACTAAAAGCCTGAAAGTCATTTTATATTCATTCTCTCATTCAATTAAGAGGGGATTTTTTTTGCAGTGCAAAAGCTCAAACCCAAGGCCTCATGGGTGCTAGGCAAATACTCTATCATTGAGCTACAGCCCTAGTCCTACATTTTTTAACAACCCATAATTTTATATTTCTGAAAAATTTTAAATGCTTGTCTAACAAAATTCAAACACTACAGAAATAGGTAAAACAAAGGACCAACGTCCCAGGAATCTTGTGCAGAACAACCACTATTAATAGTTCGATTTACATCTACTAAACTTTCATTTCCTAGCATGCAAATAGTTCCTAATTATGCTATGCACACTGCTCTGCAATTTACTTTTTCTGCCTAACACTAAATATAGATCCATGCTAGGGTGTTCCTTCAAATGGTGCCCTCCACTGGTTTACCTTCAAAAATTCTATAATAATAAGGATGTGAATATTTCCAAGTTGGTAGGATTTGGGTGGGCAGGAGGGAAGGGACATCATAAACACCACCTGGCTGAACATCTTTGCATAGATGTAATACACTGGTGATTGTGAGAATTAGTCTCTAAAAATGGAGCCACTAAAGCAAAATCCACACAGTTGCAGTTGGATTAAATGTTGCCAAGTTGCCTTCCAAAACAATTATGCTAATTACTGTTCTTCAGTAGTCTGTCCTGTCTTCAAAATTGAATGTTAGCAATGTTTTGACCTTTGTCCACAGGATAGGAGAGAAATTATAGCTCATTGTTTCCATTTGTCTTAGGAGATTTAGAATATTTGCATCTATATTTATTTATATATTATTATTTATTGTCTACAAATCATCAGCTCTGTCAATCTTTATACTTGGCTAATTTTCATAACAAACATCATTTTCCCCCTCGTTTTTAAGAATGCTGTATTCTAGGTATGCAAGTAGTTGTTTTCTAAGTGCTTATTTGCTCTTTGATACTTTCCTCTTTTCCCTAGGTAAGCAAAGGAGGGAGGAGGGATGAGATGTCAATGGCCCTGGCAAACTGATTGCCTAGACAGTTGCTTTGCAACTGAGTTTAGGCAGTGGAAGAGCTTAGTAGAAGATGGGAGAAGTGGAAGGCAGAATAATGGCTCTCCCCAAAGATACAGACTTGCCAATCACTGGAACCTGTGAGCAAATCATCGTTCAAGGCAAAAGAAAGTTTGGCTAAATTGGAAAAATGTTCATAAATCAACTAATTTTAGGATTACCATGAAAAGCAACTTGAGCAACTGTTACCATAGTGAGAAGAGTCATTGTCTGTAATACAGCCTGTATTGGTTAGCTTAGGGACTTCTGAAATCAGAAATGTAAGAAAGTAACTAGAAACAGTGAAGCAGGAACGTGTATCCAAGAAAGCTAGTGTAAGTGTCTCAACCTGTTATTGATGACTTGTGTGTGTGTGTGTGTGTGTGTGTGTGTGTGTGTTTTCATGGAATTTGGGGGGGGAGGGTCAATACTGTGGACTGATTCACAGCCTACCCACATGCTGAGTAAACTACTACTTAACTGCACTGCGCAGCTCCATCTTTTATATGTAAAGTTGTGATATAACCGGATTTGATTTGAGGGTGCTTGGTGTAAGACTGCAATTTAAGTTTGTTTGTCTGTTTTTGTCTCATAATGTTTGAGAAAAAGAAGCTGCCCACATTCTACTGATTTTAAATGTCCTCATAAGCTTAACTCTGCATAGCATCCCAAAACTCTGACAAACTCTTCCTACTCTGGCTTTTCACTGGGTGATGATCCTTTAATACATAGTCATGTTAATCCTCTGAATTATTCATCATCAGGATGTAAACTGCTTTATATGTTTAGAATTATAAAAGGGCTCTGCCCCTGAGTGAGTCAGAACATAACAAGGGCTCTAGCCAGGCATCAAGTTGCTAAATGGTCTTGTGTTACACTGTACAGATGTTTATCTTTCTATTGACAGATTATCCAGGTTCTTTCATATGTAAAGATCCAATAAATAAATGGTTCCTAAGCATGGCTGAGCATCAAAAGTACACCAAATGCATACTTTGACTCAATTCCAAATCAGGTATTAAGTTCAGTTTTCATCAGAAGTCCTGATCATAACTGGATATCCCCATCAAAGATTAAAATTTTAGCATGCAAGAATAATAATTTTAAAAATTATGATTCTAAATTTCTTAAAACTTTAGAGGTTCAATTAAAAGGAATTTTGAGCAGGCACAATTTTTCAGCCCCTTTTCTCACTCTATTTCTCTTGTGTCTAGGCACTGAGTACAGTATTCAGAATGTCTTTGCTTGAATATAAAATTGCTTACCAATATTCCTTTCTCCAGAGGTAAATCTGCCAGAAGTAATAGCTTATCTACTCAAAAGCATATAGAGCGGTCTTCAGTGTTGTGTTGTTGTATTTTGTTTTGTTGAGACAAGTTGAAGCTTGTTATGTATTCTGGAACTCGTAATCCTTTTGAATCAGCTTCCTCTAGAGTCCTGGGGTTACAGGTGTGTGTCACCATACATGGCTCAACTTTCTAAGCCCTGGATTCCATCCCCAGCATCCACTGAAAAAAAATGATAGTAACAAATTTTAAAAATAAGAATCTTACGGACATTCATTGGTATGGAAAGGATATAGTGTGACTCCCAAACTCTTTCTTTTTTTTTTTTTTTAGGTCCGGTCGTGGGCCTGAACCCTGGGCCTGGTCACTGTCCCTTAGCTCTTCAGCTCAAGGCTAGCACTCTACCACTTGAGCCACAGTGCCACTTCTGGCTTTTTTTTTCTTTTTGCTTATGTGGTGCTGAGGAATCGAACTCAGGGCCTCAGGCATGCAAGGCAAGCGCTCTACCACTGAGCCACCTTCCCAGCCCCCTCCCAAACTCTTTCTTAGCATTTCTTCTTGCTCTAAATAGAATTCATTTTATTCTCTATCTTCTGGAAGCCACTCACACCCCTTGATTCTTGTTTCCCCTTTTCTGTCCTCAAAGCCAACAATTTTACATGTTGCTGGTCAAGCTTCTGCTGAATATTATTCTGTTTTCTTCCATCCAATCTTCTTGTTGTTATGTTTTGGACAAGGTCCTGGTATATAGCCTAGGCTGTCCTGGAAGTGGTAATGCTCCTACCTCAGCCTCTCAATTACAGATGCATATGCCCATGTTGTGCCTCCACCTCCTTCTACTTTCAGTGACATCAGGCCTACCTGAGCAATCTAGGAAATCCTCCCCATTTTAAAATGAATACATTAGCAACATGAATCTATCCTAGCTGTCTTTGGTCATGTAATATAGCATATTCATAGCTTCCACAGATTTAGGAGAGGGACATTTTTAGGGGGAGAGGCTTTGTTTCTGCTTATTTGTACATCTTATCAAGAGTCAATGACAGAGATTATATCTATTCCAGGTTGAGCAGCCTCAGCACTGTGAACTGAATAATTAACTAGGTTCAGCTATGTCTCCGCAAGTCACCTGGGAAGAATGTGCACAGAGGTAAGGAGCCAGGGAGGAGCCCCTCCTGCTGCCACCTGTGGAATCTGGTCATTCCAGTGCAGCTGATACCTGCAGAAGGGGTATCATCTCCACTATGGCCACAATTTAGTTTATGCAAGGTGACATGTACCTGTATTCCCGGGTAGTAAGAAAGTCAAGGCAGAAGGATCATTAAGTTTGAGGTCATTGTGGACAAAAAATAAATAAGTAAATAAAATAGAGAAAACCTGTTTCAAAAACAAAAAAGCCAATAAAGGCCATCTCTGACAAAGGGAATGTAACACTGCAGTGCTCCTGCTGGCCTTGTGCCTGTGTTGTGTCCACGCCAGCACAATGGATGTTGGCTGCCCAATCTCTCTCCTCATTTAGCTCTGTTTCGAAACTCAAGTGCCACTGGACATTGATAAAACAAACCAAGCAGCTCAAGGGCAGCAATGGGAGGGAGGGAATAAGAGAGAAAGAGGGAGCATCTAACACTAAGCAAAAAGAAAGAAATGTGCATATTACCTGATGTCAAAGAAACAGTTGTATTGTCAAAGCTCATTACAGACCATGATAATGACAGTTTGCCTTGTGAAGGTTAAAATGTGTTTGTGACTTTAAGTATCATTCTCCCACAGTGCTGTGGAATTGTGAAATGTATGTAATTACTTTCAAAAAATTATTTTAAAAAATTGAGTGCCATACAATACAATGCGTCTGAAAAGTGGGAATTCAGATAGTAGAAATTACAAAGGAGTTTCCTTGTAAGACTTACAGTCATGTATAAAATGTACTTTGATCAAATCCATCCCTTCTGTATTACTCATTCTAACACACTTTCCTCCTCTCTTCTGCTTTTTAAAAAGTTTTTATGGGTTTCAGTATGTTTCCTTCATACATATATATAATTCAGTTAGATAATATTAACCTCTGTCATCTTCTTTCTTCATGCCCCTTCCAGCAGACTCCTTCCCAACAGTATAATTTTACACGATGATGATGATGATGATGATGATGATGATGATGATGATGATGATGACAATGACAATGTATAGGTTTCACACATGAGAAAAAACATGGGGGGCTGGGAAGGTGGCTCAGTGGTAGAGTGCTTGCCTTGCATGCCTGAGGCCCTGGGTTCGATTCCTCAGCACCACATAAGCAAAAAGAAAAAAGCTGGAAGTGGCGCTGTGGCTCAAGTGGTAGAGCGCCAGCCTTGAGCTGAAGAGCTGAGGGACAGCGCCCAGGCCCAGAGTTCAGGCCCCATGGCCCCCCCCCCCCAAAAAAAAAGAAAAGAAAAGATAAAGAAAAAACATGGGAAATTCATCTTTCTGATCTTGGCTTGTCCTGTGGGACATGACGCTCTATGGTTCCATCCAGCTGAATAGAGGAAATGAAATTGCGTCAGGAACTCTGGTTATAATAGACACTTGGATTTGCCTGTTAGCTTGATATTCTTTCAGGGGAGCGAGATGGATGTTGAACAAAATAAGCAAGGCACTTGCTAGAAACACACATGGTATGTATACATGATACACACAGCTGTGTTTCTGGAAGGAAATCTAAGAAACTAGTACAGACCACCATACAGCTGGACAGAGGAATCAAATAGAGGAGGAAGGGTGAGAGGGACATTTTATTTTCATTTTGTAACTTGAAATTGATATTTTGTATACAGACTAGCTATTCAGAACTACAGGATTTTTAGAATAGTACAGGATACAACAAATCTATGTATGCTAAGATAGTAATAAAAAATTAGGTTTCTGATATAACTGACCAGGGTACTAAAATCACCAATATCTGTTTACATAAATGTGTTGTCTGTCTGGTCCATTTAAGGAATAGTATAGGTAAAGAGGTAATAAATAACAATTAGAATTCAGCTTTAATACTGTCATTTAAAGTTTGAAATTTTCTGTTATTTTTGTGACCTTACATTTTGCTTTATCTTTCCCCCATATTTTAGTAGTAGTAGTAGTAGTAGTAGTAGTAGTAGTTCACTAATATATGCAAAGAAGACTGACTTGTGTAATAAATTCTTACTTTCAATCATTTCTTACTTGAATAAGAGATCTAAGTACTCACTTGGATGGAATTCCCATAAGCCAGAAATACAATCCTTCTGGTTCAGAAATTAAACCTACTAAACTCTGGCAAGCTTTTCAGTAATAACAAATATAATTCTGAGCCACAGAGCCAAGGAAAATGCTTTACTTAAAGAAAGAGAGAAACTCAGAGGAAGCCCTGTTTTGACCAGGGAGAACAGTTTTTGCAACGTGGGTTGAGAGTTGGAGATGCCCTTTTAAAGTCTATGGAGTCAGTTGAAACAAGGAACTGAAAATTTCAAGAGAGAATGAGGGAAATACTGCTGTGCATGATCATCAAACACTTTTGTGAAATCTGTGTCATGCAAATTTGCACTATACCTGCTGTCTCACAAGCCCATGTGTGCACTCAGACTATATCTGCCTACCATAGCTACTCAGGAGCCTGAGATCTAAGGATCACAGTTCAAAGCCAGCCCAGGCAGAAAAGTCCATGAGACTCATCCCTCCAATTGACCCCACGAAAACCAGAAGTAGAGCTGTGGCTCAAAGTGGTAGAGTGCTAGCCTAGAGCAAAAGAGCTCAGCACCCAGGCCCTGAGTTCAAGCCCCACAACCAAAAAAATTTAAAAATAAGGGGGCTGGGAAGGTGGCTTAGTGATAGAGTGCTTGTCTAGCATGCATGAATCCCTGGGTTTGATTCCTCAGCACCACATACACAGAAAAAGCCTGAAGTGGTGCTGTGGCTCAAGTGGTAGAGTGCTAGCCTTGAGCAAAAGAAGCTTGGAGACAGTGCTCAGGCCCTGAGGTCAAGTCCCAGGACTGGCCAAATGAAAATACAAATAAGAAAATAAAGTAAACTTCTCAAGAGGAAATGGTAGGGATGTTACCTGAGGCTCTTTCTCTGGAAAGTATGCTGAAAATACAGCTCTAAGTGAGACTGATGGCTGATCCTAATAAGATGGCCAGTGAATTGGCCTCAAGCTAAGGGAGAGCATGGAAAACAGTTTGCTCCGCCTTGGGGGACCACAGCAAAGTGTCTCAAGAAAAATCTCTCCCTTTCCCTTTTCTGTTAATTGATAGATTATGGAGAGAAGAGAATCATCATCTTCTTGTTGTTCTTCTTCCTCTTCTTTCTTCTTCTCCTGCCTCTTCCTCTTCCTCTTTCTCTTCCTTTTCCTCTGCCTCTGCCTCTGCCTCTGTGTGTGTGTGTGTGTGTGTGTGTGTGTGTGTGTGTGTGTGTGTGTGTGTGTGTGTGTGTGTGTGTGTGTGTGTGTGTGTACGCGCGCGCGCGCCTGCCTTCCTGAATGCCTGCCTGCATGTACAGGTCCAGGAGCTTACACTCAAGGCCTGGAATGTTTTTCGCTCAAGGCTAGCACTCTACCACTTGAGGTACAGCTCTACTTTTTGCTTTTTTTGATGTTTAATTGGAGGTAAGTGTCTTACTTTTATACATAGACTGGCTTCAAACCATAATCCTCAGATCTCAGCCTCCTGAGTAGCTTTTTGGATTACAGGCCTGAGCCAGTGACAACTGGCTGAGAAACTTACTCTTTACGACTGATTCAGAGTTCCATCAGTTGAATTAAGTACTCTCTCTCTGTCTCTCTCTCTCTGTCTCTCTGTCTCTCTGTCTCTCTCACACACACACACACACACACACACACACACACAGAGTAGAAAAGTGATCTGCAAAAGTTAATCACTGACTAGAACCAGGAACAGGTAGAAATCTGCCCGAGTTTCCCCTGATGATCTCACTGGGTGTGGAGGAAGAAACCACTGCCAGCTGAGATCTGAGCAGTGACCAGAAACCTGACTCCAACAATGAACGGAGTTGCAGATCCTGTGTCAGATGCAATCGCCACTTTTTAACCAGGCAAAACAAGCAAACGGGGAAGCAGAAGAGGGCCACCAGCCTGAGAAAGAAAGTCTACACTCTCTGTGACTTACCCTTTTCTAATAGTGACTGGAAGAAAACGCTGGTGGGGATTTTCCTGTTCCTGTAATGGTTGGTATAAAATTGTGCTCTGTCAGGAAAGCCTGTTTGCAGTTGGCATGACAGGAAAGCAGGCTGTTGGCACCAAGTATCAAGCAGAAAGATCTTGATATAGCCACTGTGGTAGGAGGGTTTCACTCTGATGAAAGGCTCAAGGCCTCTGCTCTACATTACTTTCCCACAGGCTGGGGGTGTGGCTCTAGTGGTTGAGTGCCAATGAGTTCTTGAGTTCAAATCCTGAAGCCCATTGTCTCCAGCTGCTTCCTTATGGAGAGGATAGTATGTGTTAGATGAAGGAGGATGGGAAAAAAAAAAAACAGGAAGCAAGTTCACTGGACCTTGCATATTACAATATGCAATTATTATTATCCTATTTTCCCAAATGAAATTTTTTTCACATAGGAAAGCAAAGCCTTTTCTCCCATGTCAATGCAACAGTATGCCAACAACAACAACAACAAAAAACTGAGTGCAAGAAATGACCATGTGGCTACTTGTCAAGTTGAAGCACATATTTCATTCAGAAACTCGAAGCAGAAAAACAACAGAACGGATTAAAAAAAGAAACCTTCAGAATACTATGAAAGAACTTGAGGAATTTACCTAAGACTTAGAGACACATGCTGAGGGAAGCCTCTTACTACCCCTTCACAGTGATTCTGTAGCAAAAAGTGTGGAATTACAGGATTTTGCTGCTGAGACAGGCCACAGACACTTAGCCAAAGCACATTTTCTACTTGAAGCCATCTTTTGCCAAGTTCGGTCTATGCCTCAACTCTACCTTTAGTTGGCAGTTAGCTACTTCTGGAGGCCAAGAATCCTATCTACAGACAGCTCAGGATGTGAGTGTTCCTCAGGCTTGTACTTTGTCCTTTTCCAGTGTGACAGCAAAAATCTAGTCCTTCTTCACCGACTGCTCTGAAAATGTGAAGATAAACTCCTGCTGGCCATTGTGGTGTACACCTGTAATCC